CATCGGTTCTCCTATGTCCTTTGTCGACAACCCCTCTTCAACAAGCTGCATCTCGTCATCATCCGTTTCCATTTCAACCGCCTTCTCAAACTCGACGTCATCTTCTTCCATATGCTTGACCCTGCTCCTCCTAACAACCTCCTGAACCGTCATTGGAGAAGGTAAATACTCATCCTCATTGTCCGCAAAATCTATTGTCTCAACCACCACAAAATCAAACCAATCAATCATAGCCATTTGGATCCTTTCCCGCTCAATCTCATCCTCCACCTTCCGCCTTTCCTTCTCTTGTGACTGCTCCCACTCCAGCCGGTTTACACACCGTTGAAGCACGGTTTCCATGTCTGCAACAGTTTTCCTAAGCTTCTCTGTTAAACCCTCCGGCGGCAACAACACCTTCGAATACGCATCAGAAAGAGAAGTGAACAACGCAAACATCACACTGCCCGGCTTCAGAAAATTGAACTGGGAGTGCTTGATTTCCCTGCTTGTCAATCCCGCCAAAAACGATTCCCCTCTCGAGCCACAAACTGGGCTGTCAGCTTAATAATATCATACTCTTCCCCAGTAATTCCTTCCGGAATACGAACAGTATACTGCTCGGATTCCGGTGTTTCAATCACTTTTCGCACCGGTTTAAACTGGGCAGAGGGATCAGGCACTGGTGCTCCTGCTCCACCCTTTATGGCGGGAGCCTGTGGCGCCCCCAACTCTGGCTCGGCAGAAACTGCAGGCTGCTGATTCCTGTTCCGGAATTCGGACAACCGATGCTGATAATACGCATGGTAAGGACTTAGGGAACTCAAAAAATGGAACTTCGAATTTCCAGCACTTTCAGCCACAATTCTTTTCACGAATTCGGGACCCTTTTTGGCCACGAAGTGGGCAGTTTTGTCGACTATAGTTCTAATGTCTTGGGGAGGACGTATCATGCCGATAACCCTAGTGTGCGACATCGTTTTCGACTCCGGAATGGTAAGCGCGAGGCTTCCATCGGAAGGAGGGTCCTGTAACAGCGACATTGAAGATCGAATCGAACCCAGATGGAATTCGAACACCAGAATCGAAAAAACGGAGACAATTTGTAATCTTTTGAAGCAAAAACGAACAATTTGTTATGCCTTGGTCCGTTCATTAGTTCGGAAACGAGATTCAGATTACAACCTCACCAAAATCACACTCAGTTGAACAGAATAAAATACAAGAAATAAAGACACCGAGAAATTTACGAGGTTCGGCAAAAATCCTGCCTACGTCCCCGGAGAGATATTGCTCTTCACTATGAGAATAACAGTACAAGTACACATGAGTTAAATCGACATAACCCAATCCCAAATCCCTTGTACACCCACTCATAGAATTTTCCCAAGAGCCTCACTCTACCCCAAGAGTTCTTTCACTAGAATAATTTTCACTCTAACTCTCTTGATTTTCTCTCACTCATGCCCATGCTTTCCCATGGGAGAGCCGAATGCTCTCCCCCTTGGATGCTCTCTGATGCCCTCACTCTATATTTTTCTACCACACTTATTCATCCGAATGCACTTCACTCACACTTATATTTTATTCCCAACATCATGATGTCTGAATAATCATTAAAGAAAAAAACACCACTTTTTCTCTTTTCTTACAATGATTATGTCTTTACATGATGATGTCCACTTCTTTGTTTATTTTACAAGCCGAAAGGCATTTGGATTGTGGTAGTCACCATGTCTTCAATTGTTGTCAACACATGACTCATAATTACTCACAAATGTATGAGCCAAACACAACACAATTTGTAGCAAATTCTAGAGAGATAGAGCGAATTGCCGAATATATAATTCTTCTTGTTTTTATAGACAGATATTTGGATACTAATTACAGTTGGAAATCCAGAATCCTAAATCCTAATGGAATCCAAGTTCAATTGGGAAACAAAAACAGTTGCGATTTTGCAGTAACAGCTAAGTTCCCGCCTATTTTCTCTAAACTTTGGGCTTAGCCAAGCCCAACAAGTCTGATACCTTTTTTTCTGAAAGCCCGCTAAAACATAGGCCCAAAAGGAAGACTTCTCTTCTCTCTCAATTGCTTGGAAAGTTGCGATTGTTTGGCATGTTCACTTTTTTTCCTTATTATCAAAGGAATTTTAACAAAAAAAACTTCAAGAACTATTTATTTTAACGAAAAAGTCAATCATAATACTATTCATTTTACTTTTTATTTCGTTATTTTCGTTAAAATTCAAAATTTTCAAGATTTTTTCATTAGTTTTCCCTATTATTATCAAGGGGATCGAAACTTAATACAATAGTTTCAGAGAAAGAGAAGTTACGAACTCAAGTCACTTCACTCATATGGAATGCTTATTCCAATTATTCCCATCCTCGACTTCTTCGTGCTCAATAATATTTATGATTTTTTTTCCCGTGTTCTACCAATATAAATGAAATAAAAAAAAAAGTGTAGGCCCATTCCTTCTTTTTCTTTTCTAAATCTCAACTTTCCTCGTTCAAAATAAGTATACATTGTCATTAAAATAAAAAATGTGTCATGTACGAACATAAAATTTACTATTTAAAGGCCTGGCCATAGTTCAATCACTCTTAACGACCACCTAAAATATCATCATTGTTCGTACCTAACGCGCGTTTGCATTGACAAAGATAAATTATCTAGGACCATACTGAGGTCCTAAGAATGATTGATGCTCAGTTGCAGTTGTATATATTTAATGTACATGCCCATTATGGTCATATTACCCATCAATCGTGTCATATTGTCATATATTTTGGTATTATATGAAGCATGCATGAGCTTCATTTTTAAATCACATGTTTCACTTAATACCAAAATTACCTATCTGTCCTTCTTTGTCGCACCCACTATTTTCTCTCCACCGACAACTTTTTTTAATTAACCATATCATTAAAAAAATTATAATTACAGGTGCTTCCTTAATAGGACACTAATCGGCTTCCTTCCTGTATAATTATTTTACTTCAGATCGAGTTAATAGCTTCGTGACAAAGTGCCCTTTTAAATATAAAATTTGCATGTAGTTTATTTTTTATAATTCACTAATGCTATAATTATTTTAAACCTAATCGTCATTCTTTTCTTTTGATGTAAGGCAATTGTTGTTTGCTTGAATGAGAAGATTGAAGAGACGTTCAAATTTTTTATGTTCGAGAGTGTATTTAAACAATGAATCGTTTAATTAAAATTGTGTCTTTGTTCATGATTTTTACGAGTAGGTTGTGGAATGATATTCTTGCTGTTCATTGTACATCATATTTTACTTCGGATCAACCTCCCAATTAGGCTGATCACGTCAGGTTCTAGGCTTAATTAAGATTAGAAAACCTTAAGTAGTGTGTGGTTCAATATTATTGTGGACTAATAGGCCCATAATCCAAAATTATAACACTAATTGGGCCCAAATATTGGCGCTCGGACCAATTTTGGAGTCCTAAAAGCAAAGCATGATCTTGAAGAAGACTAAAGAATAAAGGACAGAAAAATGCAAAGCAACTACTAAGTACCGAGATTAAGGTAGCGTAATTAGAAAATGATACAGCAAACAAACGTAATTTCCAAATAAGGACGCAATTGCAATAATAGATTAAGAGAATCCCTTGCAAAAGAAAAAGCGGAGAAGCTTTACCACCAAAACAAACTATGAGGATGTAAGACTAAAGTCACAATGCTTCACGTCACTCAATTCGTGTTGTCCACAAGTTTATCTTAAAAATTCGCTATACGTGAAAGAGCGTGTGATGATGCAAAGATAAAAGAGTCTCGCATCGGTAAAAAGAGAAATCTTGCAAGGACCCATATTAACAATTGGGAAATGTTAAGGAGGCTCTCTTAAAAGTGAGACTCTTCATGAATTTTTTACCATTTTATCTGTGTGACGCAATTCCCGTACCAACATTATAAAACAATGCGCCAAAAACATGAGATTGCAGAGAGTTTATAAAGAGAGTCCCACTTTGACAAAATATTCTTAGCATCTCTCATTACCAATTAATTTTATATTGGAATTTCAACTTTCTTGCAAACTATCGATTCCAATTGCTATGTCCGGTTTTGGCGTAACGTAGAGTCAATTACCAAATCAGCCCTTTGAGGAATTAAGGTTGGCAAGGACTTTTTGAAATTTAGTATTAGAATCCAATTAGTGAAACTAATGACTGGATTAGATTATTTTGCCCGTTAAATCACAGCCATCATGTTTTGATTAGTGATTTGATTATGCAGAAGCAGACTAATGTGAATGAATTCAGTGTTGACTATCTTCTGGTATAGCATATGGGACCTCACACCAATTTATTATTTTTGGTGGAAACTTGACCAACAAGTTTGATTGCAAGAAAAAAACTGCCACAAAAGTCTACTAATGCGCTTGCTTGGTAAGGTTGCCCTAGGAAACTAACTTCGTTTCTATAAGTTTATAATGACCGTCGCTAATATTAACTTGGACTTTTCCCAGTTTAGTATATTACGGTTGATAAAATATTATGTAAAATTGTCTTAATCTGATTAGAATTATTTTTACACTAAATAGTATCAAGTGGAGTCGGTGAGATAAACATATAAGAAATAGATGTCCTATGAATAATATAGACGGAGCTCTACACAATTTTCCTTTTTCTTTGCGGCGGAGGGAAATAATTATCTTCGGATTCTTTCCTTCCAATTCATTGAATTTAGAGATCTGGACCGTTGAAATTTGATCCAATAGTTACAAATAGAGATTCATTTTAAAATTTATAATAATTTTAGATGTTTGATCAAATTTTAATAACCGGAATCTCCAAACTTGATGGATTAAGAGTAAGGGAGAGGATTCCTTTCCGCGACGGAGTGGATGAGGCTTCAACATGGAAACCGGAATCCATCAAGTGGACAGCAAAGCTTGAGGGGCAAAATGGTAAAATCAGAGGCTACTTGGTGAGTGAGTATGTGGGGTGGGGCGCATCACATCTACCATGAGCCATCATCAAAACAGGGAAAAGAAAACCCCAATCGGGTAAACTCGCTGTACCGCCATCTGAAGACAGCGGACACACACGTCATTATCACAAAACGTCAGGCCCATTTCCGTCATTTGATTCACCTTCTTCCTCGAACTCCCACCATCACCATTCACACCCTCACTGCCACTCTCTCTCTCCTCACCAGTCCTCCATCACTCTCTCTCTCTTCTCGCAATTGCAACTCTAACTTCTGCAGCTGCTGCTAATACTTCCTCTCTGTAAAAAGCCCAAAAATGGGTAGCCGAATCCCATCTCACCAGCTCAGCAGCGGGCTGGTAGTGTCGGGCCGACCCGAGCAGCTAAAAGAGCGCCAACCGACAATGGCATCACGCGCCGTCCCATACACTGGTGGTGATGTGAAGAAATCTGGAGAGCTAGGCAAAATGTTCGACATACAAATTGCCGATCATCCTCTTTCTGCCCCATCCAGCGGACCTCCTCCTCCTTCCAAGCTCTCAGGCTCACGCCCTTCCTCCTCCTCCCAACATAACAGCGGATCCGTCCGATCGGGGCCCAATTCCGGTCAGATTTCTAAGAAATCCTCCGGCCCCTTGACTCCACAGCTCCAGGTAACTGGCCTTATCACCTCCGGCCCATTGGGCTCGGGTCCACTAAGCTCCGGGCCCAGGAGGTCGTCCGGCCAGCTGGAACAGACGGGGTCGATGAGCAAAAGCAAAGTGGTTTATGGGTCGGCGGTTACCACCTTAACCGACGAGGTCAAGGTGGGGTTTCGTGTGTCGAAGGTTGCGGTGTGGGTGTTCATGGTGGTGGCGGCGATGGGGTTGCTAGTGGGTGGGTTTCTGATGGTGGCCGTCAAGAAATGGGTGATTCTGGTGGCGGTGGCGCTCTTTCTGTTGCCAGTGTTGGTGGTTATTGTCTGGAATTTCGCGTGGCGAAGAAGAGGGCTGCTAGGGTTTGTGAGGAGGTACCCAGATGCTGAGCTCAGAGGTGCCATTGACGGACAGTACGTCAAGGTTACAGGGGTAATTTCACTCTCTCCATCTCTCTCAGTTTTTCCTTTATTTTTCCATATTTATTTAGTTGCTTGCTCGCTCTTAATATAATTGGGTTGCTCACTTGCTCTTGCTATTTAAATTTGATAATTTCCCAATTTGTTATTTTTCAAGATTTGATTAGGGATATTTTCTGATGCTACATGTTAAGCCCTTTGTTTTATCTAGCGTTTAATGTTTTGTTTCGAAGACTTTGTGGGTCAATTGTTTGATTTCGACAAATACTAAGAGGTTGGATTATCACTGTCAATTCCAATGTTTCTGGTTGTGTATTGATGTAAACGGGCATTTGGTACCACGTAGGAATTTGATTCATGACTAGTGGAGAAGTTGAAAGTAAAACAATATTTGCAGACGCCGGTTAAGTCAGTTAGCCATGGCAGTGTGTCTGGCTCTTTGCACCCGAGTTTGAATCTCCCTCCACGTAGATTAAAATGTCGCCTTATCAAAAAAGTAAAACAATCTTGGATTTCACCGTAGTAATAAATCTTTTTATTCTACTATGATGGTTTGGTTTTATTCTTCTATGCTTGTTTTTCATAGGTAGTAATATGTTGATATCTCTGCATGTAGGTTGTTACCTGTGGCAGTATTCCTTTGGAATCATCCTACCAAAGGGTACCTAGGTGTGTATATGTTTCCACCGAGTTGTGTGAATCTAAAGGATGCTGTGTGCGCAAGTCCGAGAATAAAAAATCTAGACATTCAGAGGTTAGTTGTCAGACTATTTGTGCTTATGTGCTATGAACTGCGTTCATTGTCAAAGTTTGACTGACGATGATTTAGAATAAAGATTTGTATATACTGCACTCGTTGATCTGACACGGCCCTGAGAAGTGAAACCCATTATATACATACATATATGTAGATATGTGTTCATAGTTATACACTATGTAAACTTAACATTTTAGGCATGCAGTACCAGATAAAATTAGCTCATGCGATTCATGACATGAATATAGCCAGATGTGAGTATACCTGAAAGATTTATGTATGCATTTGTTATCCTCCACTATTGGGCAAACAATTTGAAAATCTTGCTTGGATTTTTGTTGGGGCAATAATACAGTATAATTAACCTGAGTTCCATAAATGGTGCCATCTGTGCGTTGTCTTTTGCAATTGTTTGCACGACCAAAAGACTGCATATGCAGTTCTCTGTTTGCTTTAAAGACTTCAGTCAGTCTGGAATATTAACATTTTTATGGGTTTTTTTTAAAAACAGAAATATGTATCTGACTTCTACATATCAGACTTCCAATCGGGTTTAAGAGCATTAGTGAAAGCTGGCCATGGAGCCAAGGTTGCCCCATTCGTAAAACCAGCTACTGTGGTGAACATGACAAAGGAAAACAAAGAGTTATCTCCAAGTTTTTTGCGCTGGCTTGGTGAGCGCAACCTGTCTACCGATGACCGTGTAATGCGCCTCAAAGAAGGGTATGCCGCTTTTTTGTTTCTAGTCATAATTTTTGCATGGTAAGAGATTTTTACATTTAACCTGTAACTAGAAACTCGCATATGATTATACAAATTGTGAGGTTCTGTCATTCACAAGTTATAGGCTTTTAAGAATATGTTTCCTCCTCGCCAGGTATATTAAAGAGGGCAGCACTGTAAGTGTGATGGGGGTTGTCAGACGCCACGATAATGTGGTCATGATTGTTCCTCCAACGGAGCCTGTGTCAACAGGCTTTCAATGGTTTCGCTGCCTTCTCCCGACCTATGTTGAAGGTCTCATTCTGACGTGCGATGATAATCAGAATGCTGATGTGGTTCCTGTGTAGATATATTCAGTTTCATGATAGTTGTTTTTAGAAGTGGGATTTGCATGTAAAAATATGAAAGGCTAAAACCAAAGGAAAAAGCACATACGACAACCGGCTCTGTTCTTTCCTTTCGTGGTTAAGTGTATGTAAGCCTAAAGATGCAGTTCAGAAAGACTGAGGATAGCTTACTCTGGATTAATATGCTGTGGAGGTGGTAATGTAATAGGGCAAAAAGGCCCGACGACCACCCTTTGAAGAAGTTTGTAGATGATGGATGTAACGTCGGAAATCAGGATGCTCTGATTTCGTGTACATAAGTCATAGCTTCATAGAGTGCCCAAAGGGGTGCCTTTCGTCTGATGCTCGATTGCAGTACACAAAGTAGTTACTAGGGTTTTCTGTGGTTTCCTTTTTTTTTTTTTTTGGTTATAAACCGTCTGGCCTCACGTGTATTTGTATTTCATCTTGTAATGTGTATTGTTTGTGACAAGAAGGAAATGTTAATATTCTATTAAGCATGGGATTATGTAGCGTTAATGTTTCGTGTCCAAGATTGTAAATGCAAAAATTACTCTCCTTGTGAGATATATGTGATGGCGAAAATTAACATTGAAAATCGATAGGAGTGAATTTTATTGATATTTGCTGAAAAAAAAAACTTGTTCTTGTAATGATTCGAGCAAAAACATGTTGATAAAGAAGGGAACTAGAGTCTAGAGGGCATCCCTCCGGCCACTACTATAGTTTCTCCGGTTATGTAAGAAGCATCATCGGATGCCAAAAAGGCAGCGGCAGCAGCCATGTCTCCAGTGGTACCGAGCCTGTTGAGTAACGTCTTCTCCTCGAGGGCCTTCCTCTGCAACAAAATACCATTCGAGTTCAGTCAACCACAAAGGTCAATGGCCATTGCCCAAGATCCCTTGGAAGGGAACTATATATCCCAACGTTGGCCTTTATATATGCACATATATACTTACCACGGTATCAGTTTCTGTAATGTATGAAGCAAAGTTTGTAGGAACAAAACCCGGAGCAACACAATTTACACGAGTATCTGGCGCCATGTCACCGGCAAGGGCCTAAAGTAGGACCAGCAAAGAATAAGCTGAAGAAAATGTGTGGCTTCCAGAGCTTAAGAAACAAACGGCGTAAAACAGGAACCACCTACATACCTTGGTTAACCCAAGAAGGGCTGTTTTAGTGACCCCATACATAGCCATGGCAGCTCCTGGTGGATTGTAGCCAGCAATTGAGGAAATGATAACAACGGAAGAACCCTTCGTCAAGTGCGGAGATGCATCCTGCAAATATAATCTAGTATTATAACCTAGCATACTACACCAAAAATTTATGCACATCGAAAATGGGAGTGGAGGACAAAATAAGTCGTATAAAAGTTCTCGGCAACTGTTTATTGCAGCTCGAGCAGAAAATTTCCATGGGAAAGGAGCTCTTGGCTGCTCGATAATGTCTTCCTATGGTCTTTTACCTTGAGAAGTAGTATAGTAGCTTTGACATTGATTTCCCATAGCTTGTCAAGCACAGATTCTTGGGTTTGCAATATGGGGTCAACTGATGGATTGGCAGCAGCATTTGATACAACCACATCTATTTTTCCGTATTTCTGCAAACAAATCAGTAAAATTCAAACGTTCAACGGAATGACATGAAGAATCATTGCAACGGAGAAGAGACCATCCCCTTTGGAAGGTGAGTTAAATCAGAGGTTGTAACCAAGTAGAATTCACCATAACACTGTAGCCTACTACATCTGCGAGCTTTTGAACTCGTATGTAAAACTAAAATAAAACCTATACATCCCACATTTTTCATAGTTTTCTGTTTATATCTCGTGTCTTGCTTCAACAGTGAATGTAAAATCATGGACTCACGAATGTTCTTACCTGCACAGTCTTGTTGATGAGATTCTTCCTTTGTTGCTCATTCGAAACGTGGCAAACTACTCCCAACGCCTCAATTCCTTCAGCTTTAAGTTTCTCAACTGCTTCATCAACGTTTTTCTGGAACAATTTGACCAAGCACGATGAAAATTCAACCATTCAAAACAGCCTAAAACACAAAAACATGTACCATTTAGCTTGATTGAAGTTCATGATATGCAGTATTCATTAACTTTCCTCTCTTCATCATTCCAGGGGATTACACGGGGAAAAATCTGGTCTGTTTGCAACTGCTATTGGAAAGGCTAAAAGCGCATTCTGCCAACTAAAAGCTTTTGATCATAGAAGCACTTTTGGAGAGCATTTCAGGAGGTACTTCCATGTGCTTTCCACAAAAGCACTTGAATATTCAATTAAAATAATAAACATTTCTAACATAAGTACTTATAAGAAGAAGTGCTTTCTCGAGAATCTATCCCAAAAAAAGCCTGATTTCATTTTCAACAATCAACCACACACAACGAAATTCAGGGGCTCAATTTTCGATCCCAATATCCGCGGAAACCAGAAAGAAATCAAATTTAACTAAAATTGAAGAAAAACCCAGATGAATTTCATGTAAAAAAATCAAAGATTCAGGAGGAAAGGATTGATGAGTGTCGGAGACTGACCTGCTTGCGGGAGGAGATGACGACGGAGGCGCCTTCCAACCCCAGGCGCTCGGCGATGCCGAAGCCGATGCCCTGAGTGGAAGCCGTCACAATCGCTACCTTGCCTTGGAACCTCCTCCCAATCTTCGATTTCTCCATTTTTCTTGGGTTTCTCCGTGACTTGGTTTTCTTAGCTGAGCAAAAGCGCGGGCAGAGACAATAGGGGTGTGATATCCACACACCCCATTTTACTTCTCACACACCTTTTTAATTTTCGGCCATCGGATCGGATGAATTGAAGAAGATCAACGGACAGAAATTATCAAGGGGTGTGTAAGAAGTAAAATGGGGTGTGTGGATAGCACACCCCAAAAATTGCTTCGCTCTTCTTTTTTTTTTTTTTTTTTTTTTTTTTTTGGTAAAATACAAAAAACTACCTTAACTATTGGTGTTACAATACTTTCATACCTCATCTTTTAAAATTAAAATTAACAACGTTATACCTCATCTTACGAATTTGTGCAAATGTCAGACATCCGTCAGTTTTTCTGTTAAATGCTGACGTGGCCAGAAATAAGACCCATTTTTATTAAAAAATTAATTAAATATTTAAAATTTAAAAAAAAAAAAAAAAAAAAAAAACCAAAAAAAACCCATCAACCCAAATCCCTTCTCTGAGTTCTTCCCCACCCAACCCTCTTTCCTCTCTCTCTCTCTCTCTTTCTCTCTCTCTCTATTGCCTCTCTCTCTTCTTTCTCCCTGCAACCTGCATCCCTAAAATCCCAAAACCCATAATCCATTCCCACCCGAGTCATCACCACCAGCGAGATCTCAATCCCCTTTTCTACCCCCACTCTCTCCTCCCTCCCTCCTCCACATATATATACCCATCGGCCGCAAATTCCATAAACCTCAAAACCCAAAAAGAACCGAACAAGCACTTCTCGCAAAAGCACTTTCACTGCATGTTAAACCACTTCCCCATCTCTTTCCCCACAACCCAGATCCCTTTCTCTGAGTTCTCCCCCACCCAACCCTCTCTCTCATCTCTCTCTCCCTCTCTTTCTCTCTCTCTCTCGCCTCTCTCTCTTCTCTCTCCCTGCAACCTGCATCCCTAAAATCCCAAAATCCAGAATCCATTCCCACCCGAGTCATCACCGTCGGCGAGCTCTCAATCCTCTAAGCCGACGATCGCCAATTAACCCTAGACCCTTCCCCGCCACTCCCGCTGGCATCGGAGCTCTCATTTTGGCACCACAGGTGCTTCTGGTTCCCCCACTACAAATACTATGGCAAGTTGAAATTGTGCAGAGGCTTCGCCCTCTCAGAATCCATCGCCATGGACATCACCTCCACTCTCTCCTCCTCATCCGACCATCTGTATACACCATTTATCGGAAACTCAGACCAAAGAGAGCCACTCTCAGATCACAACTCTCTCTCTCTTTATCGCGCCTCCTCTGATTTTCTCGGAAAATCTCAAATTTTTTGGGAAAAAGGGAGAGTTTTTCTATTGGGATTGTTGTTGTTGTTTTGTTTTTCTCTTGCAAATCGTTGAAGGGGCAGACTTCAGGGGCGAGGAGGAAAAGGGAATGTTGTTGTGGAGGTTGTGGCTAGAGTTAGGGTTAGGGGGCGATTGGGGGTTGTGGCTGTCATCACTGAAGTCAACAATAGAGGTAGGGTTGTCGTCGGTGGGATCGGATAGGAAGGTTGGGGGGGGGGGGAAGGATTTCTGGCTTTTGGGATTTTAGGGATGCAGGTTGTAGGGAGAGAGATGTGAGAGAGGAGAGAGAGAGGGGGTTGGGTGGGGGATAACTCAGAGAAGGGATCTGGGTTTTGGGGGAGGAGGGACACGGGTTGATGTGTTGTTTTTGGTTTTTTGTTTTTTTTTTTAAATTTTTAATATTTAATTAATTTTTTAATAAAAAATGGGTCATGTTTTTTATCACGTCAGCATTTAACAGAAAAAGTAACAGAAAAACTGACAGAGGTCTGACATTGGCACAAATTCGTAAGATAAGGTATGACATTGTCAATTTTAAAAGATGATGTATGAAAGTGTCGTGACCCCAATAGTTGAGGTAATTTTTTGTACTTTACCCTTTTTTTTTTAACTGACAATTATTGCCTCCTGACATCGAGGAAAACGGTTAGGAGTATGATCTTCTTTCCTTTTTTTCCTCTCTTTCTCTCCTCTTCTATTTCAACAGTCACTGTTAAATCACGTTAACATCTTATATTAATTTTTAAAGCAAAAGAAAGACAAAATAAGAAAATGTGAAAGGATGGAAAAAAGAGAGGAGAAAATTCTAGTCCAAACGGTTAAGAAGCTAATTACATACTACGCGTCTCGTTTGGCAACTTGTATAAAGAATCGGATAATATTAATAATTCGAAGTTAGTTGTTTGGTATGTTTATATACTAAATAATCACCGAATAATTAATTCGGCCCTACCAGTTTTATACGGCACACACCCACTTATTTATCCTCTTCACAACTTCGGTGTTATTAGTCGGGTTCTTTGTTTTTATGCAACAATCTCTCGCTCGCTGCACGTTGTCCGTGAAGTCCCCCCCATGGACTGGATCCAATTGAAGGACTGACAATTGCAGCAATGGAAAAATTGAAGGGGTCATTCCAGAGATTCCACTACCACCCTTCTCCTTCATCTCCTCCTCCACCCTTTGAAGTTGGAATTGAAAGTTATGGCAATGATTGAGATTTCCACCAGCCTTCTCTCTTCTTCATCTTCTGTCTCAATTTGATTTATTGGAATGGAAAAGAATAGGCATTTTTCTTAATTTTGGAACAAAAATAGGATAAACCGGCTATGCCATGCACAAAATCAAATTTACTAAAATACCCACATATAAATACTAAAAATCATCAGTTCATTACATCACTTTTCTCATTTGGGAGAAAGGGATGTGGAGAGAGCTATGAATTTTTGGGTTGAGCTCAGATCTCTGGTCTCAAATTTCAAAGAGAGTGAAGTCCAAAGAGAGGTGAGAAGAGTGAGCTAGATTTTGGGTTAACCTTATACTTCTGATTTCGAACAAAGGATGCGAGAGAGGTGAGAGGAGTGAGCTGGGTTTTGTATCCATATTTTTTGTTTTGGCTGGAAAGTTCTATTTTTTCTGGTGACTGAAGCTTCGACAAGCATAGTAAGGTAGGGTGCTTAGTTCCAAGTTTCGATATCAATTATTTATGGAATAAATGGGTTGTTTGTAAGATGAATTAATACATAGAATTTAAATTAGGGTTTGTGTTTCATGTTGGGGCCTATGGGTTGTGGAATAAACCTTACAAAATTGGGTATGTTGTGGACTTACAGTAAGCACTTACAAATTCAAATATTGCTTTATAAGCTGGGAATAATATATCGGATATGATGCATTATCTAAGAATGAATGCTATTCTTCTATATGATGGAATATACACGATATAGAAGAATAGGCTTTTTCGAAAGTGCTTTCCCATATGGTCGAAATTCCAAAGTAAAATAAAAGGAATTTATACTTGATATCTACATTTTATAGAATAAAAGGTTCGCAACGCAAGGCATCTTTCTTCTGTATTATCTGAGAATGAATGCAATTCTTCTGCATAATGAAATATATATGATCAACAAACAAAAGCTTTAGCATATGGAATAAAAGGCTTTTTTGAAAGTGCTTTTCAATCTAGTGCTTTCCCATATGATCGAAATTCCAAAGTAAAATAAAAGGAATTCATGCTTGATACCTACATTTTAAAGAATAAAAGGTTCGCAACGTAAGGCATCTTTCTTGTCCTCATCCACATGTTGCGGGGACTTGTGGAAATGAATGGCTTAGCCCTGTCTTCCTGTATATATAGTGAAAACATGATTGAAGAACTGCACGAAGAGATGGCTGCGCAAGGGGCTCCCCCAGCAGAAAAGCCACATCAGTATCAAGAGATTATGGACAACTTAATCAAACCTAAAGACAGGCCCGCACCTGATAAACTCCTTTCGGAGCACCAATATACAGATTATTTCGACGCAGAGAAAAAGGTGAAATCCATGCATTTAACTTTCTGACCATTTTAAAAAGAATTTCCCGCTCTTTGTTTTTCAGTTTTTGTGTGAAATTATCAAACATGCTTCAGAAATGTGAAATTGTCCTAATTCTTACTGATGTTTAGCACACTCATTTTCTCCGTCTGGACACACATGTTTGTTTATTGCATTTGAATATTTGCATAAACAAAAGGAGAATCAATTAAAGGGCATAAATAAACAGGGTGTGCAACAGAAGAAAACGAGTGTGCGGAAATCATTGCGTTTTAAATATATTAAAAGATGAACTCTTACTACAGCTTGAAATATATCAACAATCATGTTTATCCTATTATTTTCTTGACTATTATTAGAAAAGTTATTGGGTTGATGAGGATGGCAAGAACTGTTTTATGTTGTATGCAAGAGATCTCACAATCATTTGGAGTGGAGACCGTCGTTACTGGCGCTGGTACCCTTTGAAAGTAACCAGGTACCGAAAACTTGAATCCGTATATCACAATTGATATTGGTTACTGCTATGTAGTAATCGGTCCTAACTTAGGGTTTAATTGCAGAGATGCCTCCGTTGACGTTGCTGAACTGTTAGATGTATGCTGGCTAGATGTGAATGGGGCTTTTGACACCAAATACCTGACACCCGATACTGTGTATGAAGTTTCATTTGTGATCAGGCTCAAGGACCCAAATTACGGATGGGAAGATAATGTCAACTTCAGCCTCACTCTCCCTGGGAACGACAAGAAAGCCTGTACACAGGATCTGAGGAAATTACCAAGAGGAAGTTGGAGTATTATCCGAGTTGGTGAATTTAAACCGCCTACGCCATCTGGCCGCATGGATTTTACGCTCCGTCAAACTGTTCCGAAATAGAAGAAAGGGCTTGTTATCCTGGGTGTCGACATTAGTCCTAAACTCTAAGTTGCGGAGTTTCTGGTTTTTATTTTATTAAAAGCAGAAATAAGACAAGTGCGTATGTAAGAAATGATGGGAACAGAATAATAATGAAAGGATGATACACTTTCAACTACTGCCCAAATTCACATTTTTCTTTCTGCTTCTGTAAAGAGAGAGTAGTGACTCCACATACGACCAATTTCTTGACGATAAAGATCGATCCATGATCGTTGTCGACGATTATTTCTGAATTACAGCAATTCACACCTATTCCACTTGCCTAAAGCAACATAGGAAAGCAATATTCATATCAGCACCATTGGCCAACAACAACAACAACAACAAAGCCTTTTCCCACTAAGTGGGGTCGGCTATATGAATCCTAGAACGCCATTGCGCTTGGTTTTGTGTCATGTCCTCCGTTAGATCCAAGTACTCAAGTCTTTTCTTAGGGTCTCTTCCAAAGTTTTCCTAGGTCTTCCTCTACCCCTTCGGCCCTGAACCTCTGTCCCGTAGTCACATTTTCGAACCGGAACGTCAGTAGGCCTTCTTTGCACATGTCCAAACCACCGGAACCGATTTTCTCTCATATTTCCTTCAATTTTGGCTACTCCTACTTTACCTCGGATATCCTCATTCCCAATCTTATCCTTTATCGTGTGCCCATACATCCCACGAAGCATCCTCATCTCCGCTACAACCCATTTTTGTGTACGTGTTGATGCTTCACCGCCCAACATTCTGTGCCATACAACATCGCTGGCCTTATTGCCGTCCTATAAAATTTTCCCTTGAGCTTCAGTGGCCTACGACGGTCACACAACACGCCGGATGCACTCTTACACTTCATCCATCCAGCTTGTATTCTATGGTTGAGATCTCCATCTAATTATCCGTTCTCTTGCAAGATAGATCCTAGGTAGCGAAAACGGTCACTTTTTGTGATCTTCGCTAGATTGCTCCAGTCATTAGTGTGGATAAGTATATAAATGGATAGAGATAGGAAAGCAAACACAAGATGTACGTGGTTTACCCAGATTGGCTACGTCCACGGAATAGAGGAGTTCTCATTAATTGTGAAGGGTTTACACAAGTACATAGGTTCAAGCTCTCCTTTAGTGAGTACAAGTGAATGATTTAGTACAAATGACATTAGGAAATATTGTGGGAGAATGATCTCGTAACCACGAAACTTCTAAGTACCGGAGTGTGGTATCGTCTTGACTTGCCTTATCTGTCTCATAGGTAGATGTGGCATCTTCTCTGGAAGTACTCTTCCTCCATCCAGGGGTGGTATCTGTAACTGGTGGAGATGCACAAGGTAATGTATCAATCTCACTTGAAGCTTACTTGTAGTTTCAGGCTTGGTCAAGCGCGATACAAACCATGTAGTAGGAGTCCCCCAAGTCGCCGAGCTAGGGGATCTGCTGAAAGAGGTGACAGACAAGGTAAGCAATCAGAGCTCCGGCTGATTGTTCACATTCTCCCTATCTTGCAGGCAGCATGAAGGATAAAGAGAAGAAAAATGAGAAGAGATGATATGGGATACTTTTGCTTTTGAAGAAGTAACTTTCCACAGGCTTATTCTTGAACCGGGCTGGAGGGTTTTCTGGTTTCCTCCAGAGTATAAGGCCGACTGAAGAATTTGAGGGTCAAAACAAGTCCATCAAATCTAGAGTACGTTCGACCCTGCTGATATGGGATACTTTTTCTTTTGACAGAGTAGTGGATGTATCGGCACGTGTGCTGTTACGCTTGTCTCCACATGCTTCCTTGTATCCTTCTCACTTGCCCTATCTGTTCCTCAGGCAGATGCGGTATCTTCCCTGGAAGCATAAGATGTTGAAGATGAGTACTCGAGAGCAATGCCAGGTAAGTAATCAGGTAAGGGGTTCCAGGCAGTCAGTTCCTGGCTGGAAGCTTGATTCCAAGTGCTGACTGATTGCTCTCTTTCTCATTGTCTTGCAGGTAAGAACAAGGCCAAAGGAAAAGACAGGGAAAAAACATGATATGAGATACTCTTGCTTTTAACCCTGATGATATGAGATATTCTTGCTCTAGTATAGCTTGTTTACAGAGGTATTATCGGGGGGAAAGAAAGCTGAATATTTCGAAAGGCTTCGTTGGGAGTGCCCTCTCAGATAAGAGAAAGGGTTGAGCATTTTTGCAGGTCTGCCTGTCCGTTAGGGATGGAGGTCGACATATATATGAGTTTCCCTAACATCAAGTAATAATGCTATTCATTTACCCTGCTTGGTCATAACACGGTAGTGGGAGCTGCCAGCTTCACATGTTTTAACTCTGTCAGAGCACTTTGAAAAAGTGGTATGTGGTATCTGGAAAGATGATGTTGCGTGTGAAGATTACAGACAAACTTTATCCAAGGAGATCCAGCTCTTGAAGTTGGGAAAGTGGTGCCTCTTCGGTTTTCGAACAAGCAATCCTGTCGGGGATCTGGCTCTCGAGATTCGGAGAACGATGCCTCTTCGATTTTTGAGAAAGCAATCCTGCTGGGGGTCTGGCTCTCGAGATTCGGAGAGCGGTGTCTCTTCGATTTTTGAGAAAGTAATCATGTTGGGAGTCTGGCTCTCGAGATTCGGAGGGCGGTGCCTCTTCGATTTTGGAGCAAGCAATCCTTTTGGGAGTGTTTTCTGGAATGTGAGTAAAGGTTGGCATGTTTGCTAGTCTACCTTGCCACGAAGCACAGAGGTTGACACACCGGGACTTTCCAATTATCCAGCAGTGGTACTGTTCCTTTACCCTTGTGGGTAATAATATGGTAGCTAGACCTTTAAAATTTATGTGTCTAAACTTTGTTAGTGTTGTTTCTTTGCAATTCTTTTACCCTTCTTGGTCAGAGCGATGTAGCGGGAGCTGCAAGCTTCACGTGTCTCAACTTTGTCAGAGAACTTTGGCAAAGTTATCTGTGGTACCCATGAGTTACTGTTGCGTATGGTGAACAGTATGATTCATGTGCTTTCTACTTCGCCAGAAATCTTCGACAGAATGCCCATAATTTCCGCAAAGCTGAGTGTGCGTGTGACAGGTGCTGACAAGGCTGGAAAAGTAGGTGCCTCTTCGATTTCTGAGATCGGCCTTCGTGGTCTCTTAGCAACCCAGCTTTTGAGAAAGCAAGCCTCTTCGATTTCTGAGATCAGCCTTCGTGGTTTTTTAGCAGCCCAGCTTTTGAGAAAGCAAACGCCTCTTCGATTTCTGAGATCGACCCTCGTGGTCTCTGAGCAGCCCAACTTTTGAGAAAGCAAACGCCTCTTCGATTTCTGAGCAGGCGCCTCTTCGATTTCTGAAGCTTCGTCGAGTGTAGATTTTTATAGGGGCTGACATTAAGTTCCAAAGCACACTTGAATATCCACCAGTAGAAGCTCCATTCTTGCACTTCTAAGATCTTGATTTGTCCGACCTCTTCTCTCTTCAACAACTTTGAAAATGTCTGGCCCCTCCGACCGTCGTTTTGACTTGAACCTTGTTGAAGAGGCAGCCCCGCCTTCTCCAGACAACATATGGCGCCCCTTCGTCTCCCCTACTAGTCCTCTTACCGTTGGGGATTCCGTGATGAAGAATGATATGACCGCTGCGGTAGTGGCCAGGAACATCCTCTCACTCCGAAAGATAACAGACTACTTTCCAAACGGTCTGATGAGTTGGTTGTTAAGGATTCTCTGGCTCTCAGTGTTCAGTATGCAGGTTCTGTGTCTAATATGGCCCAACACCTATTTGCTCGAACCCGCCAAGTTGAATCATTGGCGGCCGAAGTGATGAGTCTTAAACAGGAGATTAGAGGGCTCAAGCATGAGAATAAACAGTTGCACCGGCTCGCACATGACTATGCTACAAACATGAAGATGAAGCTTGACCAGATGAAGGAATCTGATGGTCAGGTTTTACTTGATCATCAGAGATTTGTGGGTTTTTTCCAAAGGCATTTATTGCCTTCGTCTTCTTGGCTGTACCGCGTAATGAAGCTCCAAATGATCAACCTCTGATGCCTCCTCCTTCTAGGGTTTTGTCCAGTACTGAGGCTCCGAATGATCCCCCTCCGGTGCCTTCTCTTTCTGGGGCTCTACCGACTGCTAAGACTTCTCCTAAGCAACCTTTGTGAAGGCTCCCTCTTATTTGCTTATTTTGACTCAAGTATATGTACATATTTGTAACTTATCGGGGATATCAATAAATAAACTTTCCTTCATTTCAACGTATTGTGTTAAATACACCAAAGCCTTCTTCGCTAAGTTCTTTGAATTTTCTTTTGTTGAAGCTTGTATGTTGAAGATTTGTGAGTGGAGCATGTAGGTTGAGGTAGTGTTCCCTTAATTTCCCGAGTGAGGAAAACTTCTCGGTTGGAGACTTGGAAAATCCAAGTCACTGAGTGGGATCGGCTATATGAATCTTAGAACGCCATTGTGTTATGTCCTGTGTCATGTCCTCTGTTAGATCCAAGTACTCTAAGTCTTTTCTTAGGGTCTCTTCCAAAGTTTTCCTAGGTCTTCCTCTACCCCTTCGACCCTGAACCTCTGTCCTATAGTCGCATCTTTTAATCGGAGCGTCAGTAGGTTTGCACATGTCCAAACCACCGTAACCGATTTTCTCTCATCTTTCCTTCAATTTCGGCTACTCCTACTTTACCCCGGATATCCTCATTCCTAATCTTATCCTTTCTCGTGTGCCCACACATCCAACGAAGCATCCTCATCTCCGCTACACCCATTTTGTGTACGTGTTGATGCTTCACCGCCCAACATTCTGTGCCATACAGCATCGGCGACCTTATTGCCGTCCTATAAAATTTTCCCTTAAGCTTCAGTGGCATACAGCGGTCACACAACACACCGGATGCACTCTTCCACTTCATCCATCCAGCTTGTATTCTATGGTTGAGATCTCCATCTAATTCTCCGTTCTTTTGCAAGATAGATCCTAGGTAACGAAAACAGTCGCTCTTTGGTATTTCTTGATCTCCGATCCTCACCCCTAACTCGTTTTGGCCTCCATTTGCATTGAACTTGCACTCCATATATTCTGTCTTTGATCGGCTTAGGCGAAGACCTTTAGATTCCAACACTTCTCTCCAAAGGTTAAGCTTTGCATTTACCCCTTCCTGAGTTTCATCTATCAACAC